TGTTGCTCAAAATGAAGTCTATGTCTTGTATAGACAGTTAGACACACTCAATATTTTTCTTACCTACAATACGTTCTCCACATGTCAAACAAAAATAACCACATTTCCTGCAAAACATTTATTGGGAGCAAATCGTCGTAACAAGGGCGAATTTCGTTCTCGCATAATTATAGCACGTTTGTTTACATTTTTCCCTCTAAGCCAATCAGAATAAGTTTAACACCTATGCCTTTAACTTACAGCCATTCTTTTCGAGGTTGACCTGCGTGGGTAACACGTGCTAATTTTTCGGACAAACAAACAACACTAAGTAAGATTATTATAATATAAACATGGATAGTACTTTGGAGCACAAGCATATCGTTTAACCATTAAAGTAATATTTATTACAGTATTATAATACAACATGACCGAAAAGCTGAATGTCGTTTGTTTGTCCGAAAAATTAGCATCGCCTACACGTGTTACCCCCCCGCCCCCCCGCAGGTCAACCTCGAAAAGGGTGGATTGACATCCTTGTTTCAGTATAACATAGTGGTTAGCCACAAAAAACTCACCATAATGTAGCCATTCCCCTGTTCGGAAGGAAGCCAGCTTTTCAACTATATGCTTCCGTCCTAGATGGAATTATTTGTATGATCCAATTCCCTGTGAAATATTAAATAAAGAGTTTATTCAAGCAGCCACTGGCTAGTTCACCTTTCAAGAGCTTCCCGAGGCAATCTTTTTTTGCAACTCTGTGTTTGTGGACTAAATATGGAAATCATGCGCAACGCTAACCTACTCCCGTCTCAACATAAATCGTCCACGGTGAACCGCTGTAAGATTGTTTCAATATCTGTCAAAGAGAACACAAAAACAGACATTAAAGATCAAACGAGTCATATCTTTCGATGCTCAGACTTCTGAAGTGAATCATGACAGAATTTATATGTAGTAACGTTCAAAAAGAAAAGGAAACAACAACCTTCGTTCTCATCTCTCCGTTTCTTCTTCTTTTTCTTCGACTTTCCGTTTACACGGCTAGAGCCTAAAGGTGCCGATAAAATGAAAAAAAAAAACGGCGGTCTAATTTGTATCGCAACAAAAGATCATTTCAACTACATAATCATAACGGCCTTTTCAGTTTCTCAATATCTTTCCTCGTGCTCAACTAGATATTTCTGTTTTTAAAATATATTGTAGCTAGTCCAATATCTGTTTGTTTCTTCACTAAACGTGCAGACTCAATCGATATTCAAGACTCAATCGATATTTTGCAAACGAGAGAAAATATCGTGAAACCGAAGAACGCCTTGATGGTTTATTAGAGGCACTTTCAGTAATAAACAAGCACTTTACTTGCTACAGGGGAACTCCGGACGTAGACACGTTGACGTCGACTCTCTTTCCAACTGTGTAGGCTCTGACGTCCCTTGCAGCTATTCACAAAACAGCCATAATTAATATGTTTTTTTGTAAACATGTACGGGTTTTCTAAAATCTCAGAACATGCATTAACTAATGAAACCATGCGCATAGCATTTGCCAGATATATTTTACTATTTCTGCGGGAACCAAAACAATTACTTACAAATAACAACAACATACAAATACTTACAACGATTTGTAAGTTAGGATCCGTAATTGTGGTAAATGTTCCCACAGTTTATCACCCAAAATTTTTGACATTGCATTTACGTCTCCCATAGCTCTGTGACGATCTAAAAAACATAAAATTTATGAAATAATGTGAGTAAAACAGTTTTTTCACTAAACTAACAATTACTATATCGCCGACTTTGCTTCACAGCAAATCCTCCGGTCTAACCTACCGGGAAATTTTTCTCCAGCATAAAAAAGGCTATAGAGCCCATCCATACCCAACCTCGCTGTGTCCTGGAGCTCGGGCAAATCTTTTTGTTGTAGCTGAAAAAAAATATGAAAAAATACATCAAATAAATATAAATAGATTTTAATTATGTTAATTGGACATGTATAACTCACTTCTTGGCACAACAGAAATGTATCTGCAAAGGCCAGATGCAGATACTTCATTTCGTAAAAATAGCCAACATACCGCTCCACATTGCGTATGAAAATTTCAAAATCGAACTTGAAACCTCCATGCGCACACAATACTAAAAAAAACAAAATCACACATGATAGGTTTTTGCAACCACACATAACATGCACAATTGAACTGGCTTTTTAGGCAGTTATCTTTAATGTTTGCCTTAACCCTTAATGTTTCCGCAACAGCCATACCTGGGCGAACGTCCTTGGATATATCACGTTTTTTATACCATTCACGCGCCTTTTGTACACGATTTTTAAGCCATTTCATCATATTTTTGTAAACAACTTTGAATTCATTTATGTTAGGATCAATAAGCCTTTTCTTTGTTATGCCAGATTTCACAGCTAAAAAGAAAACAAGTTTCACTTAGGACACCGTTCACACGATGTCTGTTTCGAGTTTGTTTTTATACTTATTTGAACAGGGTCTACAGGGTGTCCCCCAAAAAAATGTGAGAGAGAAAGAGAGAGAATGGTACACGGCAAATAATCCATGCGCCATTTTTAACTATGTTTTTGGAAGTTACCTATTCCCCCAATGGATAGTTAACTTTAACTACAGTTAACTACTTTTTTATACAACCGACTTAACTATGTGGTTAAAGTTAAATGCTGTTTGGCCACTTACTAAATTTTGATAGCCTATGCTTGGTTTTCACCAAACATTGAAATGATCGCTCCTGCTTGCAGGTCTTTGGATCAGTTTTCATAGCAATTTCTACGATATCTCCATCCTTCGGGTTGCCTGACGTAGCTTCCACATCAAAGAATATATACATGTCCATTCTTACCTGTCAAAACCACAACTGTGATTTGAGTCATACAATTTAATACTACATAAAACTACTTGATCAATCTTAAATGTCTTCGCTATAGAATGGTCATCAATCAAAATTTGACGTTTTTGGCAAAAATAATCCAGCCGCTGCCCAGCTCCTTTGCCAGAAAAAACTACAACAAACTTTCACAAGCTACGGTGGACGTGGACAAATGAAACATGTTCCGATTTTCCCTCCCTCGCGTACCAAAGAATAAGATATGACAAGTAAAAACGGTCTTTCAATAAAATTCAATTTCCTTTAGGACATTACGAAAATTTTTATTCTATATATCGATAGATCATCTCTACGGAATACTTAATTTCCTAGTTTAAGCTGCCCAACGCGTTTAGTTGCTGAGAAAATTGATGAAAATGTTCAACAGTCGTCCGCTAAAGGTTTCGTCTTGTGGAAAACACCACGTAAATTTAAGAATGCAAAGCTTTCGGTCCGTATGCCCAGACCGTCATCAGTGCTAATAAATGTATCATTTATTAGCACTGATGACGGTCTGGGCATGCGGACCGAAAGCTAGTGGGTTTTTTCGTATCGAGTTTCCATCAGTGCATCGCAGGCGCGCGTAAAATCATAGTAAAATTACTACAAAAAAGGCTTCTGATTTTTACCTTTTTCTTACACGAAGTAGTACTAAGTTTCGAATGTTCCAATTTACTATACAGATCAGTTTTCAAGATGGCGTCCAGGCAATGAGCGACTGTTTCAGTTTCAAACAAATAGCGAATACTGGGACTGACTGACTTGTTCTGAGCAAGGCCGACTGGGAGCAGGGCCAATAAAAAGCAAAAAAAAACTGTGACAGTTTCTATATTTCACACCGCGATTGATTGTACGGGTAAATAAATAAACGTTTCTATATGGTAGATGCAATACAGGGCCAGTTTTACTAAAGAGACCTTTAGTCATATAGGCCTAATATTCGATTATCATTCACTTTACAGTAGTCGCAATTTTGATTGGTTAATCAACTTGCAAATACCTGCGTGCAAATAATAATATGAGCATGCGATTGTCTCATTGTCATCAATTTTTTGAAAACAAGATGAGTTGTCTTGCTTACTTGAAAAAAAGTGGAAAACATAAGACGAATGATAAAACAATTATTAAACATGGTTCTCGCAGAATATCGTGATTTGTCGGTGGCTCACATGCAGATCAATTATTTGCCTCTGCCTTCGGCTTCATTTTCTCATGCAACCTCGTACAAAAATTGATAATTATCATGCTTTCGGCTGCGAAGGCAGGCATAAAAGTCGGTTCGAACCTGGACCCGGCCCCAGTATGAACTTCATATTAGATTATTAACCCCCAGCCCTAACCCGAAATCAAGCCCAAAGCGGATTTGCGATAAGGGATATTGATTGAAAATTCTGAACGTCGATTGGCTGCGCTTGAGGTGATTATGTACTATTTCAAGCACTTATAGTCGTGCTTTATCAGATATGCACGACTACAAGTGCTTTAAATTGCTTAAAAAACGACCCATGTTTATGAGTTTATTGGCGAAGAGATTTTCAAAATCAACGTTGTCTAAGCCGAGAAAATCAAAGCTACAGTTTATGTAAATTAACATGAAATTTTATCACATATCACCAATATTCACTTCCCTTTCGGCGAATAATTGTTAATTAATGGATTGTATCATCCTCGGTCCCAGGGCCTCACGGCTGACACTTCGTTGCCGGAGGCCCTGGCGAAAACCAAAACCGGAACTTCATAAATCTTGTAGTTTGCCGGAAGTAAACGTAATAAAATGCTGACTCTGCATCTTTTTTTGCAAGGAGTGAACTTTGAGAATTTCTCGAAAGAAATAATGTTTTGCATGCAAGATAAACATTAATTTGTTCTGGTTATTTCACCATTAAATGTTTTAATGATTGACCAAATCAGTAAACTAAAGGATCATGTAAATGTTTCAATTATGAAAGCTGTTCAAGTTGATGAATCGAAGGATACAATGTGTAGTTTGGGAGAGTCATTGTATACGGACAGCAATCAACTGGAGAACATGAAAGTTTTTGAATTTTTATTATAATCGACGAAATATACAGACAATTTAAAAGCGATAGTTGTGGACGAAGCCCAATCTTGTTACTGAATGGTGAGTGAGTGATACTGATATATTTGGTTGTTTCTCAATATTCTTTCTTTGCTATATTATCTGCAAGACTGTACATGTACATACAGATAACATATATTCTGTTTAATACGTCTGGTCTAAACGCTGCATTTTACATGTGCCAAGTCTAGAAAAGTTTGTTCAACCTTTTAAGTGCTACCAAATTATTTTACTCAGCTTAACATGCCAGATGATTGAGTGTACTGGTTAATGTGAGAGTGCTACTGCTCAATGGGTTAATCAGATTATCTATTGTACTTTACTATCTTACTGTCTAATGTCAGACAATTTTGCTCATCAAGGGGAGAGTGGGTATAATTGCAAAGTAATTACTTTGCCACTTTGGACAAATGTATAAGTTACATATGTTTACTACGTACCGGTATGTACATAAATTCAACATTTAAATCAAAATGTCAAACTTTATTATTTGAGTCAAACTTTATTATTTGAGTCAAACCATGTAAATTCACATTAGATTTGGCACATGTAAAATGCGGCATTTAGACAGAGACAATGAGCATAAAAATCTGAAATATTATGTGCATCCCACCTACCCCCCCCCCTCACCCCTACCCCCACCTTAATCTTGGTATCCCCAGATAACGATTGTTTGTAGGATATACAACTACCTGTAAGGTATCATATGTGACTGCATACTACAAGCTAGTATCATATTGTACAGTTGAATACATATATATGACTTGAAATATGTATTTTCTTGCCAGCCATTTTCAATCATAAAATTATCCATGTTGCTGTTAAATTATGATTGGTCTAAAATTTTTGGCTAAAGATTGTTTTAATTTATAAACATTGTACTACTACTTTAGGAAGGATTTCAGGCCTTGCTATGAAAGGATTGGTATGTCGGGAAGTTTGTTTCTTCATCAACTCAGAGAAAGAAGTTGCATGAACTCAGAGAAAGAAAGAAATTTCATCAACTCAGAGAAAGAGAGAAATTACATGAACAAAATAAACAATTTTGTGTCATTGATATAAATAATGATTTATTCTTACAATTTCCTCTATGAAAATTTGGTGTTAATAAAGATACTGTAAAAAATAAATAACAGCTTTATGGTGCATCCATGCTGTGCTTTAATATTGCAGTGGTGTAGGAAATGGAGGTGTGTGGGTACCAGTGTGCTTGTGTGTGGAGGCCGGATGCTCAGGAGTTCCCCGACAAGGAATATCAAGTCCCCAACAAGGAATATCAGGTTCCCAACAGGGGGCTATAATCTTTCAAACAGTAAAATTATTGTTTTGTATGTTCAACTTATGCTCACACATGAAAATGTTGAATTTTTTGGCTCTCATGAAATGGTGCAGAATTTATTGTCTGTAACAGTGCACTTACCAGGACTACAAAACAAGGTCATTACAAAACATAATTTTTCCCAGTGCATTCCACTTCCCTGATTGGGGAGGGGCTAGAATTTCCACACAGGGGAGCTACAGCCCCCCCCCATACCTGATCCTTGCTCTGCCTTGCCCAATTTCTCTTCAAAAGTTTACAAATTATAAATTTGGTGCTGTTGACATGAAGTGCTCCTCAATTTTAAATTTCAAAACTTTCCTCCTGTGCCTATGGTGACTAATTAAACCTTGAAATCTAGCACTATAATTTATAAAAATTATGTCAACTGCATGTAAGAGATTCAGAAGTTAGCTTCCCAGTTAGTTTCCCAGTTTCATTACTTAATACTGAATGTATGTATACAGCATAAAATTGGGAGGCTCATCACCAGTGTAGCAAAGTTGCAGTATTACTATTAACAATATAATTTGTCAACTGTAAAAAAACATTGATAGCCTATAAATTAAGCTATATATTGCATGAAATTTAAGGCAAAACAAGGTGGAAGAACTAACATTTCCAGCTATTATATTAATCACTTTGTCACAATTAACGGTACAGTCTTTCTCGCATAGCCTTTCGCCTGTCTTTGTTTATACTCTGTATATAATTAAATCTCGTATATAAAACTATAAAATATCCCTTCGGCTTCGGCGATCGATTTCAATCTTTAAATAATCCAGTGTCCAATTTTGTGCAGCTTTTTAATACATTGTGACACAACATCCAACATTTTTTATATTAACAATAAAATTTCCATTGATAGACAGCAGATTTCAACGACCAAAACGACTTTTCGTCTTCTTTGAAGAGTTAATACACTCCTATCTACTCCTATTGTCAGCCATATTTATTAGTAAAAGTTCGTGTTCAATTTCCGCATTCCATTGTTTTCATGCGACCAATCAAATCACTTCTCGTTTTGGTTTTCGCCAGGGCCTCCGGCAACGCAGTGTCAGCCGTGAGGCCCTGGGACCGAGGATGGGATTGTATCAGTCGTATCAACAACCTCATTCCCAGGGTCTTTCTTAGAACGGCGCGAGGCGAAGGAAAGACCCTGGTTTCGGCTGGTCACGTGTCACCCAGATTCTGGGTGATAAATTAAAATGATACTATGGGCAGGGTGGGAGAGGAGCGTGTTTGTCGCGTTTGTAACAATATTTGCAATTTTGTGTGATGAAATTTAAATTTGCAAGAAGAAATCGTGAAGAGAACTGCAATTAAAAATTAATATTTATCGTGATGTGACTTTCTGCTCTATAATCTAGTGTCGAGTTACAATTCAAGCAAGTTGGATCAGATTTCAACTTACAAAGAAAGCACGCCTGGGCGGCGTGGCAATATAAAGCCTACAAGAAAATTCATATCTCTAGACCGACCAATGTGGTTTATATTTATTTAACTGTTAGTATTAAAGTATATCCTGATACTCGGACCGAAAGAATATATTTATTGATGAGATGTGGAATTGGAACGAAATAGCGAGATCTTTTGATTTCCGACACATCGCCAAGACGCCAACTGTATCGAGATTGTTGATTATAAAAGCCTTATCACAAAACTTAAATCCCGTCAAAAGACTATAAAATTTCCTGCAAGATCTCAACGATCATGGTATATGTCAAAGTCTAGCTGTCTGTTGAAAATCTACGGTATTACAGTAAAGTCATACATCAAAGATAAGTCAAACGACAATATATTTGTCTGTTTACTACTATGTTTATACCACATTTATAAATTTTATAAACAGCTTTCGTTTTGACACAAGCTTTAATTTTCTGCTTTATATATATTCTTAATAATACAAGTGAGATTTAAATTTTTTGCTTTGTGAAATAGAATACCGTTATTTTTAATGGACAGCTTGTATCGTTTCTATCATATATCCAGGATTGCTTGTGTGTATTAAATACTATAGCCTACATGTATCACTATATATGCAAATAAATTATATTATCAAATAAATATAGAAATATAATTTTAATGAACTTATTGAACTAGAAATAAACAGATGATTTGAGACACAATGAAAACTGTTAGTAGCCTTAGTAGAAGTAGAAAACTCGAAAATTTATGTGTATTCGTATGGCAGTCTGTGCGCGTCTGACACTGTAAATTTGTGATGCAGATTTAATATAGCCTAGTTGTGTGCATATTAGGAAAACATTATCTGACCAAGAAAAAGGCTAAAGCCTTACTATAATTAATGAATAAAAACAATGTACTAAATCCAAAATTTTAAAGATAAATCACTGACAGACATTTCTCTGTTTGGCTAGTATCAAATGTTTACATTTGCTGATATTGGGCTCTACTCTCTAGTCCTAGACAATACAATACAATACTGTTTCTTTTAAAAATCTTATAAACAAGACGTGCAAAGCATAGCAACGTTTACAAAAAAGGACAAATCTAATGCGTGTTTTAAAAACATTAGATATGTAGAAATGGTGACCACTGAAAAGCTCATAAACGTTTGTTATAAAACCGCGCTCGAGTGTGAAGAGAGCATTGAATAATAATAACGCGAGAGAGCACTGCGAGTAACGATTTGCTTGGTTTCTTGACTTGACTGTTGGTAAAAATGTAAGAATGTTCTTGTAAATTCAATGCAAATAAAATAAACAAAAATTAGCAAGTACTTTGAACTTACTGGTAATAGTTCGCAAAATTTATGTTTTTAACTGTTTGTAATTTGATACTTTCACCACACCCCCTCGGGCAATCAATTTTGGACGAGGCACGTGACCAGCCGATACCAGGGTCTTTCCTAAAGACCCTGGGAACGAGGTTGTCGTATCAATAGATAAGGACGTGGTTATACGGCTGCAATGTAAACGAGATGTTTTAAATATATAAAATTTCAAGTTGTTACAGTAAACTGTCACTGTGGTGAGTGTGCGGCAAAATCCCTGATCTATGTGAATATTTTATGAGCTGTCAACGTATTTACCTCAAGATCCGGATCCTGACGAATTGTTTCCGAATGACTTGAATTATCTGCAAAAAGAAGAAAAAGTATTTCATTTACTCCATGGGTACATACACAAGATAAGTGACGCTTTCTTTTTCTTTCTTTTCTCCCCCCCCCCCCAGTGTTACTCTGTGTCTGTTAGCAATGACCTCATCAAAAATCACGTGAATCTTTGTTATCCCTTCCTGCACACAAAGATGAATGCCTCCACAGCAAACAATTCTATTAATAAATTGTCATCTTTCACCCAGTGTCACGTGACAGTACTGTGATATCAAATTGATTCTGACAACAGCAAGCTCTCAGAGGGGTATATTACTGTTAAAGTGTACAGTATATTTTCTCCTAATTTTGAAAGTGAGCGCAGTGATATCACCTTTAAAAGCATATTCGTCATCATTATCTTTGTCTGAATCTTCGCCTTTAAAAGAAAACGATAATTTATTATTTTTTAATCACATACATAACTTGTAAAATATACAGTAGCTAATAAAATCAAATGAGTTAAATTAAAAATTATTCGAATAGAAACGTGCTTGTGTTTTTGTTAGAATGTGTCAATTCATTAATTTAAGGTAGCAAATGAGCCAACTCCATAGACGTAGTTATGACACTATAAAAATTAGACAGGAAGACAGTTCAAAATTAAAAATAATATAGTGCATGATATATAGCTGTGTACGCTAGAGCATACACGACAGAGTTATTTTACACTCTTGACGAGTAAACAACGACGAAGTCAGATCGAGAAACATTAAAATGTGATATATAATCTATAAAATCTCGATATGAATTCGTCGTTGTTTACTCGTCAAGAGTGCAAAAAGAACTCCGTCGTGTGTGTTTTCTAACACAGCTATACTAGTATCATGCACTATATTATTTTTCACTATTGAACTGTCTTCCTGTCCAATTTTTAGTGTCATATTTGCGTCAATGGAGTTGGCTCGTTTGCTACCTTACCTATATTTTGGCATTGACACATTCTGGCATTTTGAAAATTTGTTTTTACTTAAGTTCGATGTTTCAAATAACTTTATAGGTACGTAGGTACTCTGTAGCTCAGTTGGTTAGAGCGCTACACCGGAATCACAGGGAGAGCATGAAAGCCGCGGCTACACGGGCGATTTTTTCCTCGCGATTTTTTAAAATCGTCAACAAATTTCGAAAATCTTTCGTGTAGCTAGCCACCCACGAACGCGCGATCCGACAGTCAGGAAAAATCGATCGTCAAAGTTGATCGCGATAATTTCAATTAGTTGAATATTTTTCGACGTGTCTACAAAATTATCTCTCGTGTAGTCACCTCAAATGAAAACACGACACGACGAACCGTTACTGATCTAGCCAATGAGATGCGAGAGTGAAATTGAGGCTCGGCATTTGCCAGTGTCATCAAAATATTTGTCTCGCGTGTAGCCACCACAGTTTGTTGACGATTTTAAAAAATCGCGAGGAAAATATCGCTCGTGTAGCCGCGGCTTAATACATATGTTGCCAGTGTGAGAAAATATATTGATAAATATGATAGAGTAAAGTTCTATCAAGTGTGATGCCCACAACCATGTTTTTACGCAAACATGACTTGTATATAGGTGTTGGTCTCCACTAGTTGTGTCTATATATCTCAAAGAAAACCAATGACTTGAATTTATGTGTGTGTTTTTGTGTTTGTTGTTGTTTTTTGTGGCGCGGGGTTATAAATTTTGCAAGATGGATGTTTGGAAGCCCATAAGCCCAGTGACGTCTCTGGACATTAGCATCTGAAACCTGTCTTTCCGCGGTTTGTGGTAATAATGACGCAACGACGTAATCTTGCGGAAAGCCTTGCGAAATGAGTGCGGATGGGTTAATATTTGAGTTATGGGTAAGGGCTAGGGTAGTAGTATGATAGTAAAGTACACTCAAATTTTGCATTGGTATAGCCAGGACAAAATATCACGAGCGGAGTTCGTCTCATAGTTGACTTGTGTAGCATTTTTTGTAGCAAAATCTTTGTCGCCGTAGCATTTAGCTGCTTTTAAATGGTGAGGTAAGACTGCAAATTTGAGTCAATTCTCACATTACTGTTCTCGATTTTAATCCTTAAAATTTTAAAATTAAATTTTAACTGAATTATGTACCTAAAAAAGTCGCTTTGCACGAAGAGGTTCCCTGATCGAGATAATTTTTGCTACGTTACTTTCGGTTCGTTACTTTTTTGCATTCGCATTAACAAAGCAAACAACTGACTTACCACTTGCTTGACCTGACGGTGCTCCACCAATTTCACTGGTGGTGACATGATCACCTTTGACACCTTTAAAATTTTTTTTAAAAAGTTAAAGTATACATACGTGACAGGTATAAAAGTATAATATTATTGTAAATTTGAAAGCTCTACCAGTTCTGAACTGATTTGGATAACAATGTCAGATTTGCGTTGCAAGCAACCTCGCAAGCCATGCTCTTTAAAGACCCTGGCTTGCGAGGTTGCGTTGCAAGTTGCAGCCAAAATTGCATTTCCTCATGTGACGACGGCCTTAAAAACCATTGCGACTGGGGATCGACTGCAATTGGCCTTTAAAAATTGAGCAATTTAGTTGTGAGTGAATTTTAGATCTTTTACATAAAAGTTTGGAAACTGCAAAAATCGTTGATGAGAAAACTGATTGGTGCTATTCAGGCCCCACTCTGTCACCCCTCATCCCCTTTCCCGTCGCCAACTTTGATGGGGGTAAAATTGTAGTCTGGCGATTTGTCGAAATTGTAATCTCCTAATTTTCCTGTTGGCCTATTTTATAAACCCATTGTAAACTCTAAACTATTTCTCAAATACACTGTGTGCGTGGTGTGGACTCCACAAAACTGTAGCGCAAAAGCAGTATTATCAGCGCACATGTTGCGACATTTTTGGTGGCTCACTAAAATATCAGGACAAAAACGTAACAATCATAATTAATTAGTTATTTTACCGATGTTTTTTGTTGTGCTGGCGTCATGCGTGCGTGGTCGAAACCACAGAATTATGAGGATGAAAAACTCGAAACTTTGAGGTAAAGAGCAATCCAATTTACTAGTTAGGTTTTAATTATCAAATGTAAAGGCTTTATGACGGTGTGTGACGGTACAGTGTATTTGTAGGTAGTATTTATAATATAAAAAACGTGATTTGTATTGAAAAGCTTCACTGCAGGAAGCCAGGCACGTGGCATAAGTACTTTGGATTTTAGATAGACCGAACTGAGACTTTCATGTCATGGTAAAACAACAACTTACATATCCAGTATAATTTAAACCTTTAGATTCAAATACAATTTATAAATTACTTTTCAAGCACAGTTTTAATTTAATAATAGGGTTTTTCAGACCGAAATGTAAGAAGACATACATTTGGTTTGGTTACACCGGGCAGCCTATTCGAGCTTTGTATAAAATATATTGTATATACATGCATGGGAAACAGATCCAACGTTGGCACAACAACACATAAATACCAAAGCTCAGCCATTGACTCAGTGGCGTGCTGGCAGGGGGGGGGCCGGGCGGGCACGGCCCCCCCAGCTGGCAATTTTTGGGGGGCGCAAAAATGAAAAGGGGGCGCCGAATTTTGAAGTAGGTGGGAAGAAACGCATTCGAAAAAATTACTTACGAATTCCTCCAAGGAAAGATGTGTTTATAGACTTATAAACAGACTAAGCGCATAGGCGACAAAGTGAGTATATTAAATTGCAGACTATTTTGTCTAACCGTATTTGCTACCTCACGACTCACACGAAATCACTCGTTCATATAGAAACATGATCAGTGATCACACTCAATGTCTCATTACCGGAATATTGATCAGACTTCGAAGCGATCACGGGAATTATGCGCCTTTTTTGCTGGTATTATACCCTTATATTATGCCCTTTATTATGCTTCACGAATCACGAGAGCGGCGCAAATTAGATAGTTGAAGTATGATAATGTACAGTTGTGTACGCAATTTAATTGTTTGCGCAAGAAACATTATGAGTAATGTAAGTAATGAGATAATGATGAAACACGCCCTTTTGGCAGCCAGGCAAAGGAAACCTTAAAATGCATATGCGTGGGGTCCGTGTGTTATTGTATAAAAGAGCTGTAAGTTGTAAATGTATTCAGATCAGTAGAGAATAGAATTGGGATTAGATTAATTTGTGGAAGTAGTTAGCATTGCCCAATTTAAGTGCTACTACTAAATTCTAACCAATTTTCAAATTTCGACACGTTGTAATGCCGTTTCCTGACCATCAGATTTCTGTCAAATCTTCCCCCAAAGTCCAGGAAATGGCATTTCAGAGACTCTAAATTCAAAAATTTTCCTGGGGGGCATGCCCCCGGACCCCCCTAGACAAACCTCGCACCTGCGGCACTCGGCTCGTGCCTTCGGCCCTCGTTTATCAAGTGTAACATTATAGGGGCGCATATTGGTTGACAGCCCACTGCCCCCTCCAGAAAAATAGTACCCAGCACGCCACTGC